GCCTACGCCTGATGCCGACGCAGTCGACATCGGCGCCAGCGCGAGACTCTGCTGGGGGCCGACTCCGGATGTGAGGCTCGCAGGGTCCGCACGGCCGACAGTTGCCGACCTTCCGGGCAGCACTGCCCACCGCGCTGCGCTATCCGCCGCAGCGAGAAGGTGTTCGGCTGCAACGCGGTCCCGCAGGGATGAGAGATGAGCCGGCTTGAAGAGACGCGGCCTTTCCAGCTCGCTGGTAATAATGACGTCATTTGGTGAGCTTAAGTTGGCGAATTGAGCCGCAAAACCCCCGACAGCTGGAATGATTCACGAGTGGTAGCACAGCGGGAGAAACGCTAGAAACAGCCGAACGGTTTTGGAGACGAGATTTGATACCAGCTGTTATATTATATATACATTCGTGTGGTCCGTTTTGGTGCTCGTTCGAGCGGTACATATTACTGAAAGTGATTGTGTCCAAAGGTTTTTTGAAAGGTACATGCAAACAAGTTTCACGCAACTCAAATTCAAGTCTACCTCCGATACACATAGTAACTATTTTATCTTGCTTGTCATCAACTTTTGACGGAAGGACGCTTGCGTAAGTTTTGGCTGTAACATGAGCAGTTGATGTGCACCTTAAAAGCATCTTTAGCCGAATGGAGAAGAACTAACGATATTTTCGCTGTTAGCGTTTTCTGGGGTGCAAGAACTCGGTGAGCGACCATTGCCGAGCTTTCGCGTTATCAACAACTTATCCGTGCCTCCAAGAAGTCAAAAGGACCAGCACAGGAATGAAAACACACACCATTGGCCAAAATCAGACTTTTTTTTGCATGCATCGCGATTTTTTTAAATTTGAAAATTTGTCGTAACTTTATGTCTTAGGTTATGTCTGTGCGCCCTAATAGTTTTCGCTTGTCAGTCTATGACGCGTTGGTAATTTCGTCGTCACGTTCCCGTGTCCTAGAAGACTACAGTCGGGCTTCTTCCGCAAACTCCAGTTACGAGTGGTAAAGGGATGTGACCTGATGTGGAGGACACACGGTAAAAGGTCAAGGGTTGCCATCAACGTCAAGAGCTATTTGGTAGTCCCACAGCAGAAGGTCAAGGGATACGGCAGTCTCTGACACACCAACATATTTAAGAAACCGTATTTTTTGTCACGTACGGCTATTATGACAAGTAAAAACAAAAATGAGCGCATTTTCAAGACAACATGGCTTACAAGAACATCGCAGCACAGAAACATGCACAAGCTTAGGAGGTCCGACATGCTTTAGTGGTTTACATTTTATCATTCATAAGCTATTCGCAGAAACATGTACCTGGTCGTAGGAAGAAACAATCAATACCACGCCAATACCTTGTTGAGCTGGTACACCGGGGGCAGTCATCCTGTTATAACTTTTGGTGTCCGGTCACCAGGAAGAATGGTTCAGCTCAGCTGTACTCCCGGCAGCAAGTTCACATCATTTTCAAATGACATTTTTTAAAAAATTACGAGCTGGTTTGCATCGGTGGTTTTGAGTTCAAAGAACCTGCTAAGCATGGCTTGTTGCACGATGTAAAATGTTGTGTCCATTCCACAAATCACTCACAGCACGTTACAAGTATGCTGTGAGGAATCTTAGCTTTCAGAGGACATGGAACACAATGCGAAATGCACCACACTTTCAGCAAAGGCTGGAAACGAAACACCTCAGAAGAACAAACAAAAATACTGTAAAACGTTCTACAGATTTCAAAAATAATTGCAGACTTATAAACACCGTGTATTCACTTTACGGATGGTGAGCCTCACACACCTGCGACACACCACAGCGGGGTTGTATGACAATGCTCGCAGTTCATAATATCCGCAGTTCATGAAATTTGCCGTTCACAATATTACAACAGTTCACAATTCCCACAGTCCACAATGTTCACAGTTCATAATGTCCACGGCTCATAATGTCTACAAAATAATCACACCGGTCCCAACCAATCGTGACCACTCTGAAGTATCGCAGAGCGCAAGAGGCCCACACACCATGATTTATTCCGAACTTTAATGCAACTCTCTTGTAGAAGAAGCCATCTGCTTGCTTGCCGTCACGCTGTGATGCATGGCACCGGCGTTATCAGACCGTAATCGGGTTCAGGACGCCGCGACACGCTGCAGCGAACTGCAGGAGACAGGTAAAGCGCTGCAACGGCATCGGCAGGCACCGTGACAGTGTGCTCCTCAAGGCAAAGGGGTAAACACAAATATGCGTCTCAAGGCATCCTGACGCACTGAACAGCCCCAAGCACGGGTCAGTTAGAGCTAGTTGGGCATAGCACCTCAGGCACGTTTTCGAAAGGAGGTCTTTACCGAGAGTCCTTGTTTTCGACTCTTGATTAGCGGCCACGTGATCATCACGTGATCCCGTGGCTGTTTGGCGGTTGTCTGGCCCTGACTAAGCATCAGCATCTCAGTTGTTGTGACTGCTCTTCGCGATACTTTTATTTCAGTTTCCAGGAGCTAAACAAACGGAGCTACATACTGGTTCTCGGATCATTTAAACAGATTCACATAACAGAGAGACGCAATGAACCGCACCGAACCAGCACCGAAAGCGTCAAGAACTCCATAGCCTCTGGTCTTCGCGGACGGCGTTTACATGCCGGCCAAACGGCTCAACCCGCGAACTACGATATATCCTCAGGAATTATGCCGGAAAATGGGAGTGGGCACTTTGGTTATAGCCCAGTCGATGGCCATAGTTGGAAACTTTCAGTACTCAGCAGCGGTATTTACTGCGCGGGCAACCACGGCTCTGCGAAAAGGAGCTCTCCGCGTTATTGACCTACTGTTCGTAGGGCGTACATAATTCTTTCATGGTAGATGACACATCACATCTGCGGTCTGGGTGATTGGACTGACATCTCTCTGCCTTTTCCTCATCATATATGTATCTCTCTCTCTCTCTTCTCTATCTCTCTCTCTCTCTCTCTCTCTCTCTCTCTCTCTCTCTCTCTCTTCTCTCTCTCTTTCCTCTCTCTCTCTCTCTCTCTCTCTCTCTTCTCTCTCTCTCTCTCTCTCTCTTCTCTCTCTCTCTCTCTCTCCTCTCTCTCTCTTCTCTCTTCTCTTCTCTCTCTCTCCTCTCTCTTCTCTCTCTCTCTCTCTCTCTCTCTCTCTCTCTCTCTTCTTCTCTCTCTTCCTCTCTTCTCTCTCCTCTCTTTCTCTCTCTCTCTCTCTCCTCTCTCTCTCTCTCTCTCTTCTCCTCTCTCTCTCTCTCTCTCTCTCTTCTCTCCTCTCTCTCTCTCTCTCTCTATCTCTCTCTCACCCTGTCCCCTTTTCTCCTTTCACTTTCTCATCTACATGCTTTCTCTGTCTCCGTCCCACCCTCTTCCTTTTACACTCTCTCCACCTCTGCCTCCGTCGATCTGTCGGTTGTGGTAATAGCTCTGACAGCACCACTGCGATCATCGCTATAGCTTTCCATTCCGCGTCCGCTTGGGTTCACACAAGCTTTCAACCCTGCTGCGACCCATGCAGAATGCCAGAACGTCGGGGCCGCCAGCCGGTTGTTGGATGTGATGGCTCGCTCCCTAATTTATAGTTCCGTCAAATAACTTATTTGCTTCCAGCGCTATCATGCTACAGGCTGGGCACCGCCTGCGGAGGCAAAGTAATCTTTCAAGCGCAAAGCATTACTGGATGAAGTGAACTGAAAGCATCCCACCGTTCTGCCTAGGCGTGGTAATGGCATAAGCGTGCACCGCACATTTGCCGCGTTCTTTTTAAAATATCATTGCTGGAGCTCGTGGCTTCCTCGGCGACCACAATGCCAAGAAAATATCAGCTCGGATAATGTGGACAGTTCGGCCGGAGGGAAACCGTGACACTTTTGCGTATCGTGCAGTGCTGTAACACGGTCCCCAGGCCTGGTGAACACCCTTCGGCCTGTTGCCGGCTGACCTCTGTCTCACCCAGGCCAACGCCGTGGCCGTCTGGGACCCCTTGGACCAGTACAGCTGGATTGCGAGTCCAGCATCTTTCCCATGGATTACGACGGCAGCATTTGAGCATTGGTTCACACGACGACTGCCAAACAATGGTCCCATGCAGCGTCTTTCTCTGTAACCACGGGTGCGACAATTCAGTGCTGAGAAAAGGTCGCCATGGAAAGGATTCGGGTCCAAATCGGGTTTAATGTCACGAGCGGAAAAGTATTTCATGATGAAATGTCAGAAAAATTGTTCATCATGAACGTTTTGGAAAGTTGATGTAAGACAAGCAAAATGGTTAAGGAAAGTGTGTGGAGCCGTGCTCGTAGCTGTGAAGTACGTTTTATGTTTCAAGAGGTCTGCTTGGGCCCTGGAATTTTGGGACGTGAGACCATTAGTCTGTTCTGAAATGAACTGGACCATGGGTCTGGTCTAATATAAACTGGGCCATGGGTTGGTCTGACATGAACAGGACCACGAGTCTGCTCTCACGTGAACTGGACCATGTCTGTTCTGACATGAACTGGACCATGTCTGTTCTGGCATAAACTGGACCATTAATTGGTGGTTGTAACATGATCTGGACCGTGAGTCTGACATGACATGAACTGGACTGTGTCTGAGCTGACATGAACTGGACCATGTCTGACCTGACATGAACTGGACCGTGTCTGATCTGACATGAACTGGACCATGTATGACCTGACATGAACTGGACTATGTCTGGTGTGGCATGCATTGGACATGAATCTACTTCTATACAATGCATTGGTGAATCCCCGAATCAGGGATCGTCTTCGCGACTCACGGGGTTTTGGAGTCTTTTAACCGATCATGAAGGGTCTTTTTGTCTCAGCGAGTGACATCGATGCGGCGCTTTATTTTCGTTATATCCCTTCTTATTGCTTCCGGAATGCGTTTGGTAAAATAATGTATCGG